CCCCTACACCCCTAAACCCCTAAACTGCCTGCGACACCCGGCCTCCCCTTCAGGGTGCTGCTGCCCGCCCCGAGCCCCAGCGTGAGCGACTCCGGGTTCTCGTCGCTGTTCGTACCCCTGAACGGATGGGTGTTAGGTCTCGAGTTCAGGGTTTAGGGTTTAGGGGTTAGGGCTTTAGGAGGCGTTTAGGTTGAGGGTTCAGGTTTTAGGGTTCAGGGTTTAGGGTTCAGGGTTCGGGGTTTAAGGCTTAGGACCCTGGTGAGGCGTAGGGCTTTGGCTTTCAAGTCCTGGGGTTTATTTGAGGCCTTGGGGCTCGAGGTTTGAGATCTTAGGGCTTAAGGTGTCAGGTTTAGTTCAGGGTTTGGGGATGATCGAAGAGGATGACCTGTTTTGGGCTTCTTTGTGAGCATCTCGACGGGATGGGAGTTTTCTCGCTGAAGTAGAGCTTTTGGGCTTGGGGTCTGGGATCTACAAACCTACCGGTGGAGTTTCGGCATCTCTTCTGTAACTTTGCACTGCCGGTTGCATAATTAAGCGGGGGGAGAGGGGTAGAGGACGCAGGATCCGCGAGCGGCAGCTCGAGATCAAAGAACTTTCGGGCGCCGAAACAGCAGTCAAGATCTGCACTTAGATCACTAAGTTCTTGACCACGAAAACGAAGCTGAAGCCCAGCGTAACACCCTGCGGCCTGCGTCGAACATCATCTTCACCTGCCCAGGGCAACATAAACCCAGGTTCTCTCAGAACAAACCGTCTTTAAGCGACATGCATGAACAATTGCAGGTGCCACCTGGAAGCAAGAAGCCCAAGGGATCATGTGAAAGTTGAGGCCCTCGAAACCTAGATCCGAAAACCCTGCCGCCCTCTGAGGAAGGTGCTGCGCTGGTAGAGGAACTTCACGCGCTCCATGAAGCCCCTCTCATCGAAGAGAGCCTCTTTCTCACGAAGGCTTGGCGGGACTTTTTCGGCACAAGAAGTTAGCCACAACCCCAGCCTGCATCCGATCTGTGTGGCGAATGAAGTTGCAAGCAACACTTAGAAGCCCCTGCCATTAGAACTTCAGATCCATTTGATATGGCCCAGATCGCTGTCAGCTTCTGCATGGCAAAATGGGGTACCCCGGACTCCCTGGGTCCCCTCTGCTTTGTTTTCCCTTGGAAAGGGCCCCCCTACTAGACCCTCTAAAGACAGAGGAGGCCTCCTTGGGCTTCTCCCGGCCCAGCTGCACGGTGCTGTGCATCTCCTACCGAAACCACACAGGCAAGTAGGTTTCCGGAGCCTCTGAGGCGTGACTATTTCAGGTTTCGGCGTCTGGTGTTGGAGGCTTCAGAGTTGAACGTCACAAGGAGATGCCGTGTGAAGAGCCTGTGAAAGGCGAGGCAGGCTGCACGAACTCCGGGCGAAAGTGCTACTGCTAGGCACTGCCCTACTGAGCAGGCTCATTCATGTTATGGCCTGCTGTTCGTAATCCTTGTGCAAGACTGAAGATCGTGCCGGTCTCTGACCCAAAAACTCCCACAGAACTGTAGTGATATCGATTTATAACTCCGGATATCATGATAACAAGATCTACCAGCAATATTATACTATACCTGTAGCACACCCAAACCTCCCAGACATCGGCAGCTCCACCTGCAGATCTTCCACCCGCTCGATAATCTGCTTGAACATTTCTTCCAGACGCACGTCGCTCTTGTCACCGCGGACCGGAGCGAACTTGACATCTGTGGCGTCCTCGATGGAAGGCGTGCGTGGGCCCAGTCCGTGCAGTTGAGGCAGCTTGAAACCGAAATCTAACCCTAAACCCTAAACTCCTAAACCCTCAACCCTCAACCCTAAACCCAGCTTCGCCACAGGGTAGAAAACGACTCAGGCGCGGACCAGCATCGCCTCAGGGTCAACCAGAGGCCAGAGGTCAGCAATGACAGAATTTCCGCAGATCCCCACAACTCTCTGCCGCAGGCCCCCCGTCATGGACTCCGACCCTAAACCCCAACAAGGCCTGGCCTTCTTCCGCTGAGGCAATCTGCAAGAGTTGACTGTGCGAGAGAACAGCTGTTCGATGGCCATGGAGATAACTCCGACCTCATCGGGTAGGTTGAGAGATATCCTTACTGCACATGGGGGGACTACTAAGAGGCCAGTGTTGGGCTACTACACTACTGAAGAAACTACTGTGTAAGGTTACTGCAGGGGTTGTCAGGTTTGGAGGTCTGGGCTTCGAGGGTGAACCTAGCTTTGAGCGCTCTGGGCTCCCACGTCTAGAGCTTCCCTCCACCCCAAATCCTCAACTCCAGCCTCAAACCTTCACAACTTCAACCCTAAGGCCCCAAAACACGGGGATCCTAAGACTGCCCCTAGAAGCCCCAGACTCTCGACCTCAGCAACCCGGGCCCAAGAATCCTCAACCGCACCCCCGAAAGCCGCCAACCACCTCTTTTCAAATCAAAGCTCAGAGACCGAACTTGAGTTTGATAGAATCCAGGCGCCCCCAAACCCTAAACTGAACCCTGAAGCAAAGCCCACCCTAAATCCGAGAGGCCCTAAACCCCCTAAACCCCGAAATCCCCGAACCCTAAACTTATGTAACCCCATGCTGCTAAGCGTGACTAAGACGAAAGTCACTAAGCCGCTAACCGTTGGTACCCAGAGAGCCCAATACCCGGCAATTGAGGAATATACCTTAAACTATCGGGGCCTTAATATTATGATTTTAAGGTATGTTCCTAAAACTCAGGGGTCTTGGCCTCTGGGTAAGCCCAACCCAACCCTAAAAACCCTAAACCCCTAACCCTAAACCCTAAACCCTAAACCAAAACCCCTAAACCCTTTGTACCCCCAACCTGGCTCCCCTAAACCCTAAACCCTCCTAAACCCTAAACCCCAAGCCCCTAAACCCCTAAACCCCTAAACCCCTAAACCCTAAACCCTCCTAAACCCCTAAACTCCCTAAACCCCAAAACCCTTTGTAACCCCCCAAGCCTGGCTCTCCTTCAGCTCCTTCTCTTCCAGAGCCCGATTCAGGCGCTGCTCCAGCTCCTGGAAAGTCACCGAAAGCTGGGCTTTTTTGGTGCTTTTGGGGGAAGTTTAGGGTCGAGGGGTCTAGGTGTTAGGGTTTTTGGGTTTAGGGTTTAGGGTCGAGGTTTGAAGGGTTTTAGGGAAGTTTAGGGTTGAGGGTCTAGGTTTTAGGGCTGTAGGGTTTTAGGGTTTATGTTTAGGGTTTAAGGTTAAGGCGTCGGGTGCCATCAGCGAGGGCCTGAGATTGGCTTGGGGCTTTGGGGTTGAGGGCTGTGGGGCTTTCAGGGTTTATCGGCTTTAGGCGATTGGGTTCGGGGTGTTTTGTGACACTTGCAGCTGCAGTAGGGTAGTTCTCTAAGTTAGGCTCCCCTTTTTGGTCCCCAATATAGTACGGCACCCTTATAAAGAGGACCTCAACAAAGGACCCTAATTTAGAGAACTGCCCAGTAGGCTTTAGAAGCGTTCAGGGCAGTTGGTGCTTGCACAGTCTCGCCCCAGTTGTGCTCGGTCTTGGGTTCCAGTGGTTAAGGCATTTAGGGCTCATTCCATCTACTTTAAATCGACTACGGACACCCCCAACATCGAAACATCGCAAATTCGTTTCCGTCCTGGCTCTCTTGAAGATGCTGCTCCAGCTCCACCTGGCACAAGTGCACATGCTGGAGCTTCGACATTTCCCGAAAAAGCCTTGGCGTTGCTCTTCCCCGGTCGCGCCCTTGCAGCTTACGGCAGAAACTGCAGACACACGTGGCCTGGCATTTGTGCAGCTGGCTGCTGATGGCCAGGTGCTCATTCTGCCTTCCAGCGCACGGCGAGGTCTGTCTGCAGTGTCGCGTGTTTGAGACTTGGGCCTGCGGTTCCAAGCAATGTCGCAGGATTGCGTAAACATCAAACACTGCCGCCAGTGACCCTCGAAGAATGCATTGCCGTTCCGTCATCTACACAGGGAGACCGCCCGCCAACTGCTGCGGCAAGAACAGCACACCAAGACCGTCAGCTGAGCTGCAGCTTTGTCTGAACTCGCGCGCATTCATCACGGACGCGGTCCAACCGCATGGAGAGGTCGTCATTGCCTTGGGTGAGCTCCTCTCGTGCATGGTGGGCTCTAAGCCCCCGGTCGCTGCATGCAAATCGGATCAAGAGCGGAATGCAGAAAGTCTTATCGAACTAAAGGCGTTATTATTACTATTATCATTATTATAATTATTGTCATATTATTACTATTATTATTATATTATTATTGTTGGGTGTCCATACTTCGAGCCGATTTTCGGAAGCGCCCGCTCCTGGCTGCCTCCCTCCAAGGTCGCGTAGCGATTCATCAGGACCTGGCCGATACCATTTTAGGGTTTAGGGTTTAGGGTTTAGTTGGGATACCATATGGGACTTTCCGACTATTAGGGGTACCTTCTTTTGTTAATAAGGATCCTACTATTTAGGGTACTATATTAGGGTCCCCTATTTTCGGAAACCCCCATTTAGTTGGAGCTGATGGCTTCTCTGCCGCCGCCGGTCATGCAACATGTAAGATGATGTGATAGAACATCATATGCTACAATAGAATTACCATATAATGCCATATAATACCATGCAATGTCATACAATGTACGTTTGTATCAAGTCATGCAGTATTAAATAAGATGATACAATATCACATCATACAATGAAATATAAGATGATAAGAGTACAATAGGACATTGTACCAGATAGTACGTTGTACAGGCAACATGATGTTGAACATCGTGTGTGCCACTCGCAGCGCACAACCACGTAGACGGGCATTCACGCATTGCCCTTTAAGTCACTCGTTGGTCGGTCGGTCGGTCGGTCAGTCAGGAGCCGAGAAGTATATGTGATCAAGTAGGCAAGCAGGTAAGAGCATACGCACGCACGTATGTAAGTTCGTATGCATGAACGTACCGTACGTACATGCGTAGGTATTTAAGGTTCATGCATGCATGCATGCATGCATGCATGCATGCATGGATCGATGGATGGATGGGTGGATGGATGGATGGATGGATGGATGGATGTACATACTGTATGTATGTATGTATGTATGTATGTATGTATGTATGTATGTATGTATGTAGTGTATGTAGGAAGATAGCTAGGTAGGTAGGTAGGTAGGCAGGCAGGCAGGCAGGTAGGTAGGTAGGTAGCCAGGTAGGAGGTAGGTAGGGGTAGCAAGACTGTCTTTGTGCACGTGCGAACACACTTGCATACAAGTAGTCATGTGCTGTTGTACACATACATATGCGCTGTTCTGCTGCCTTTGAAGAACGACCCATCCTCTGACTTGGTCGGCCTCAATGTCATCCCCAAACTCTTCCTGGCTTTCGTGGATCACATGCTCAAGGAAGTTCTTGTATTGCGCCTGAGCAGTGGGCACTCACACAGGAGCCTTAACGAGTTCTTGGTAATAGCTATCTTGCTACAGCAGAACAGAACTACAGCACTCGTCAACTTAAACCACCATGCTTGAATCGCAGACTCGGAAAGGGACCTCAACCTTCTGCGTAGTGACAAAATGGAACGAAACCTCCGAGGTCACCTTAGCAGCCTTAGCACATCCCCACCCACCAGAAGCCATACCTGATTACCCTATAGCAACCCTATTCCTGCCAATATTAATTTCGAGCACAGTGACCCTTCTGCTATCGGATGCTATCGTCGCCCGGCAACAGCCCTGTACAGCGCCCCTATGATGGCAAGATCCCCCTTTTTGCTCTCAAGGCGCCATCTTCCCGATCTTCGCCTGCTCGGTGTCGCGCTGCTGCTCCTGAAAAGGGATAGTGAGAACGGGCTTGCCATGAAGCGGGTAGGGTTTGGGGTTTAGGATCCCATGTGAGTGCAGCATACTCTTGCTACTTCAGGCTCCCACAGAAGTCCGAGGGCACCGAGTCGGCAGAAAATCACCCGAGTCTGAAACTTTACAAACATTCCGGCTCCCCCCGACTTGGAAGTTCAGTGGCATCCCTCACGACAGAGACAGCAAGAAGACGAACAATGCTGGTCTATCAACTGCCCCGTCCCCATCGACAGTTCCACCATTTCGCCTCAACGTCTAAATCCTTAACCCCCAAGCTTAGGCCCGGAAGCTTACCCTAACCAACCAACCGAACCAAACAAAAGCTTCCAACACCGTCCTTAAGATCCCGAAGCCCAGCCCCCCTCAACCTCAAACCCCTAAACCCCAAACCCGATAAGCCCTGAGCCCTAAACCCTAAAACCCTAAACCCTAAACCCCAAAACCCTAAACCCCAAAACCCTATAAACCCCAAAACCCTAAACTCTAAACCCTAAACCCCTAAGTTTAGGGCTAGTGGGGGTAACCGAGGCTCTCGGAGCGAAATGCGCGACTCCTGCGGAGCGCTTTTTCGCGATTCACCCTGTGCCTCA